TTTCAAACAATTTTCCTTTTATCCCTTTTTCCCAACTGTTTTCCCTTTTTCCCTACACATTTCCCTTTATCCCGTATTCGAAAATTATTTTTCCCTTTTTCCCAACTCTTTTTCCTTTTTCCCTACAATTTTTCCTTTATCCCATTTTCCCAAATTACTTTTCCCTTTTTCTCAACTTTTTCCCCTTTATCCCATTTTCCCAAATTATTTTCCCCTTTTCCCCTACAATTTTCCCTTTATCCCATTTTCCCAAATTGTTTTTCCCTTTTTCCATACAATTTTCAATTTATCCCATTTTCCCAAATTCGTTTTCCCTAACTCTTTTCCCTTAATCCCATTTTCTCAAATTAATTTTCCCTTTTTCCCAACTCTTTTCCCTTTATCCCTACACTTTTCCCTTTCACCCATTTTCCGAAATTATTTTTCCCTTTTTCCCTACACTTTTCCCTATATCCCATTTTCCTTTTTTTCCCTTTTTCCCAACTCTTTTCCCTTTCAACCATTTTCCCAAATTATTTTTCCCTTTATCCCTTATTCCAAAATTATTTTTCCCTTTTTATTAATTTTCCCTTTTTCCCAACTCTTTTCCCTTTTTCCCAACTCTTTTCCCTTTATCCCTACACTTTTCCCTTTATCCCGTTTTCCCAAATTATTTTTCCCTTTTTCCCTACACTTTTCCCTATATCCCATTTTCCCAAATTATTTTTCCCTTTTTCCCAACTGTTTTCCCTTTTTTCCTACAATTTTCCCTTTATTTTCCCTTTTTCAAACAATTTTCCCTTTATCCCTTTTTCCCAACTGTTTTCCCTTTCAACCATTTTCCCAAATTATTTTTCCCTTTATCCCTTATTCCAAAATTATTTTTCCCTTTTTATTAATTTTCCCTTTTTCCCAACTCTTTTCCCTTTATCCCTACACTTTTCCCTTTATCCCGTTTTCCCAAATTATTTTTCCCTTTTTCCCTACACTTTTCCCTATATCCCATTTTCCCAAATTATTTTTCCCTTTTTCCCAACTCTTTTCCCTTTTTTCCTACAATTTTCCCTTTATTTTCCCCTTTTCAAACAATTTTCCCTTTATCCCTTTTTCCCAACTGTTTTCCCTTTTTCCCTACACTTTTCCCTTTATCCCGTATTCCAAAATTATTTTTCCCTTTTTCCCAACTCTTTTCCCTACAATTTTTCCTTTATCCCATTTTCCCAAATTACTTTTCCCTTTTTCTCAACTTTTTCCCCTTTATCCCATTTTCCGTAATTATTTTTCTCTTTTTCCCTACAAATTTTCCCTTTATCCCATTTTCTCAAATTAATTTTCCCTTTTCCCCTACAATTTTCCCTTTATCCCATTTTCCCAAATTTTTTTTCCCTTTATCCCGTATTCCAAAATTATTTTTCCCTTTTTTCCTACAATTTTCCCATCATCCCATTTTCCAAAATTATTTTTCCCTTTTTTCCTACTTTTTCCCCTTTTTCCCTACAATTTTCCCTTTATCCCATTTTCCCAAATTATTTTTCCCTTTTTCCCAACAATTTTCCCTCTATCCCTTTTTCCCAACTGTTTTCCCTTTTTCCCAACTGTTTTCCCTTTTTCCCAACTGTTTTCCCTTTTTCCCTACACTTTTCCTTTTATTCCGTATTCCAAAATTATTTTTCCCTTTTTCCCTACAATTTTCCCCTTATCCCATTTTCTCAAATTATTTTTCCCTTTTTCCCAACAATTTTCCCTTTATCCCGTTTTCCCAAATTATTTTTCCCTTTATCCCATTTTTCCAAATTATTTTTCCCTTTTTTCCTACAATTTTCCCTTTATCCCTTTTTCCCATCTCTTTTCCCTTTATCCCATTTTCCCAAATTATTTTTCCCTTTTACCCAACTCTTTTCTCTTTTTCCCTACTTTTTTCCCTTTTGCCCTACAATTTTCCCTTTATCCCAATTTCTCAAATTATTTTTCCCTTTATCCCGTATTCCGAAATTATTTTTCCCTTTTTCCCTACACTTTTCCCTTTATCCCGTTTTCCCAAATTATTTTTCCCTTTTTCCCTACACTTTTCCCTATATCCCATTTTCCCAAATTATTTTTCCCTTTTTCTCTACAATTTTCCCTTTATCCCAATTTCTCAAATTATTTTTCCCTTTATCCCGTATTCTTAAATTATTTTTCCCTTTTTCCCAACCCTTTTCCCTACACTTTTCCCTTTATCCCGTTTTCCCAAATTATTTTTTCCTTTATCCCATTTTCCTAAATTATACTTCCCTTTTTCCCAACTTTTTTTCCCTTTACTTTTCCCTTTATCCCGTTTTCCCAAATTATTTTTCCCTTTTTCCCAACTCTTTTCCCTTTTTCCCTACAATACAATTCAATGTGTTCTATTCTAATATAGTATAGAAATAATACTGAAAGTAGGGGACGGAAACTGTTTGTTCTGATCAAAATCATTTATCCCACCAGAACAATCATGGGGAAATCCACTTGCAAGTTGTGCAGATAATTGCTAATGAGTGGGAAACATACAAACATTTTACCGTAGGTGATGATGAGTCTTACTTAAGATCTGTGTTTGACGTTCAGTAGTACCAATCTTTACCTTCACGAGATGGCGAGTATTCTGGATATGTATTCCCTTTATCAGTGAACTATACCCTAACTATTTTTTCCAGTAGGCACACAGGGAAGTTGCTTGAGAAACTGTGACTTACAATTTCGGTTCTGGCGAAAAAAAGTGTGTGATTTGATGTTTAAAGGCAAATTTGACTCGGGTCATTACAGTGTTATACAACTTTATCATAATCCCCAGGGTGTGAAAAGTACAAAAAGAAAAAGAAAAGGTGGAAACTGTGCGTAAAGAGACAACCAGAACGAAAAAACGTGAAGAACCATGGAACTAAAAAGTAAATAACAGTGATGGTGTTAAATGTGCTCTGGAAGTTCTTAAAAAAACGCCAACTCTTTTGAATTGGGGTCGTTAGATTGGATTTGTTACTACTGCAAATTTAGAGTCAGAGCAGACTAACAGGGACACGACACAAGTATTTTCTCCTTATGTTGTCACAAGGGGAAGGTAAAATTAGCTCCTTATCGACATTCTGAGTTCATAGAAAATCTTATCAACATGCTATAACATAGGCTATAAATAAAGTAAAAGAAACAAAAAAACTATTTGAATAATATAAGATCTTACAACTCTGCATTTGCAATGGTTTATAAGACTTAGATGAATCATCATTCTGGTAGTCTATATAATTTTAAGATCCGGGGCTCCGTTTACCATCGGATTCGTTAACACCCTCTGACATTGAACCAAAGTATGCCCAACTTTATGATATAGCCTATACGACGTATACGCAGCTGTTACTCATAGAATGGGTCAAAGATCCGTGAAATGCGGCCAACTGCTGATGCGTGATTTAAATTACTATCTTTATTCCGCACAATGAATGTAATGAACAAGAAAACAACGAATGTAGGAATATACAATAACCCCCTATCTCCATAGCATAAGTAGCTTATTAGGTAGGTTATCAGCATTGTGCAGTTCATACACCATTTATTTTTCAAATGTAACTCGAATTAATTTAAAACATTCATTTGGTTAAACTAATATATTGGTTTGATTAACATAAATAGTTTATACAGGCCCAACTATCCGTTCTACTTCATATAAAAAAGCAGTCCCTAAATAAAATACAAAGATAAACAGTATTTGTTAATTATTACGTCTTTTATTTTATCTATTTTTTAAATTTCTAATATTATTATTTCCTGATAGCGGAAATCTCTCACGCGCGGGTAGTAGCCTATGTGAGGCATTTCATATTTAATGACTATGTTAGTATATTATTTTATTTATTTATATCATTGCATAACTATGAAATCTTTACTGACAAAGTATTGTAACAATGTATTTACTTATTGAAATAAACATGATTTTATTTGATTTGACAATATTCCCGTGGCGGAGCACGGGCGGCTAACTAGTATGATTAAATCCAAACTAGGTATAAATCCAAATTATTGATTTAGGGGGTGTGGAGTGAACGATAGTCAGGGCTCGGGGTTATGGAGTGAAATAGTTCAAAAGGAGGCAAAGAGACTCAGACGTTCTAATGACCTCTATATATGTATAAAAGAGGTAAAATTAAGAACTTATAGTATTTATTTCAATAGAATGTAAGGAATTTTGAAGGCATTGGTTAGTAGATTCATTTCAATAATTTTCAATCTGGGGATTTCTAAGTATCCGCACATCATTTGTAGCACTATTCAAGCATGTCAAGAAGTTGGTTGGATAATGTGTTGGTTCAGTTTGAATTAGTTCTACTAAGATTGGAAATACTAATAATTGAGTAATTATGTAGAATAAGAAAACAAAAAATTTTAATAGAAAATCAGGTATTTTTCTGCATTTAGTGAAAATCCATCTATATTAATAGGTTCTTATAATTTAATCAATGGTTCATTAACTCTTGATATCTTGTAAACCAATATTTATGTCACATTTGGATGCCTCTACTTTTACAAATCAAAAACCCCACCATGACTTTTCTTAGGTTAAAACAGAATTCATTAATGTTGTATGTTATTAAGGCCAATAAAATTTGATTTTTTATGATAAAAATATAAATATCACTGAAACCCTTACAATGACGGCAAGTATAATACTACTAAAAATATGTGTTATACTTCTTAGGAAATATAATTCAAATAATGAAATTAGATCAATTACAACAATAATTGAAACTAAAGAACCTATAACATTAAGTAGGTACTACTATAAAGCATTGCTGTATGAATTAGTTGTAAAAATCACACAGGCATAACAACAAAGGAAAAAACCCCGCTTTAGTCAAGAATCGTCCATTTAAAATTTGGTTTAACTTTCACACAGACCTTTGCATTTTTTTTTAACTTTGAGAGTTGGTATTGCAAAATAGTTGACTTTTTTATGTCAGCCAGTAAAATATAATAATCGACTTAATTAAGTGGGTAAAAAATATTAAAAATAATTTTCATATGTATATTTCTTAAAAAAATTACAACATATAATGTAAAGCAGTATAACAATGGTGTCAGAATATAACAACCGTCAATAGGTTTACAGTATAAGAAACATAATCACAAAACAATAGTTAGGTCTAAGTGTATAAAACTTAGAAGTCAATAGTACGAGTAACAACAGCATTAAATGCTAAAATGTCCAAGAAAGTAGAGTTGAAATATGATAATACCTAAGTCTGTTGAAATTGATTTACTTGGAAACTTGTGTTACCAACCGAATACATAATCCACTGCTTTTGTCACAAAACTTGTACTTTTTGTTGGCGTATTTTGTGACCCGTGCACCTGTAACAAATATTGTAAATCTTGAATTTCTATCAACAAATACAAACATTTTTATATTACCAGAGTTAAACAGCGTTAAAAGAACAAATAAATACTTTTGAAAGAAATTTTATGGCATATGTAGTGACTGTTTATTCATATTAGCTATGATCGGCATGATTTTTAATTTACATTTGATTTAGTACATTTATGCTCTATGATTAATAAGGCAATATGAGGTTGAGCTCAAGAAATATTTATAATGATGTTGCTTGATCTCCAGGTAGCACAATAATGTTCCAGAATAAAATTAATAATGCTCGCTGGAAAATCCTCATGGGTAAAAAAGTAACTTATCTAATAACAGCTTGTATACATCTAGTAACACAGCATGTGTATTGAGGTCATTATGTACTAAAAACATGAATAGAACTCTGACAGTATCAGCTGTAATACTTAAAGTTCTATATGAACTGCCAGAACACAAATGGTGTCCCGTAAGTAAATAGCCAAAATCCAGGAAAAGGTTTTATGAGTCAAAATAAAACAAAAATTAAGAATAAACTTTTTTTCAAGAAATGCTTTGCATATAAGATATTCAGCATTTTGTATTTTTAGTATTTAAAATGTATATTTCTAAAACTATTAAAGATATCATTATGAAATTTGGTTTAGTTTTAGAAACATATTTTAAGTACAAAAAAAGTTGATATCTCGCTAACAAGGCATTTTTTCAAAAGATGTTACTGTTGATTTTCATTTAATTCATACCTGATGAAGCTTTGATAGAGGAGGATATCAGCGATGTTCGAAAATACTATTTAAACATGAAACAGCTTATTATTTATTCTAAAGTATGTACTGGCAAACTATAGAAGGACTGGAGCATCGCTGTTTGTAGAATAGAAAATTTGTCTGCAGAAAATAAAGTTGTAAACTTTCTACAGAAATATTTTCTGCAAAAAACAAATTTTCTAACTTGTTATGTAAAATTTTCTGCAAAAACATGTATACATTTATAGGTTAAGTGTAAGAAAGGGCCATGTGGCCCTTTGTCTGTGAATAAAATATTTTTTTAAATTCCAATTAAAAAATCTAAAAAATAAAACAAACAAAAATTCAAGAAAATAGTTGGGCAGATTGGGCTTTCTGCAGCCCTCCTCGTCTTTCTGCGACAATGTCACACTGTCGCCCGTAGTTCTGCTTTGGGACCTATTTTCTTATCACCGAGAACTTGTGACCTCATTTACTTTCACAGCAAGATCAAACCTATCAAAATTAACAAATAGGTTAACACAAACCTCATTTTCCGTTTGGGCTGTCATGTTGAGGGGACGTCCGCCCCGGGGAGACGGAGCGTACGGTGAAGTGGGGGATGTTACCAACCGTCGCTGGGACAGACGAGTCATCTGAGGGGATTTGGGTGTTGTCGGCGTGGCAGTACTGCTGAACATGTTCGTCATATCCTTCAACGCACTGCCTTGTTGTGTCTGTAACCACAAGTGTAGGATAAAATATTTAAGTCTTGAAATGTAAAAAGTTAGTAAATTTGTAAAAAGGAAACTAATAAATTGTGTTTTTAGTAAAATATTAATAGCTTGGTATAAGATAAATAAATTTGACAAGTTTGATCAAAATGTATCCATAAACAAGCAAACTACAACATTTTACAAAATTATCCATAAGAATAACATGGGAATTTAAAATTACAATTTTTTAATTTTCTCTGTTACCAATAACGGTACTATATTATATACTATATCATTTGTTTTTTGTTTTTATAAGCCCTTTAAAAAGTTCTAGAGAAACACTGGGAAATTTTGTGTTTTGAGGGTCAAGAATGAGAAAAACAAATTTTTACCCCATAAAACCCCTTGTAAAACCCCGTTCCCATGGTCCGATCATGCTGGTTCGCGAACTCATTCAAGCTTATCCCCCCTTACACCTTTAAACCAAATTTCATCAAAATCGGACAAAAATTACTCAAGTTATCGTGTTCACAGACACATATGTCTATATCTATATTATAAAACATACATATATAAAAATTTGAAGGAATGGTGTTTTTTGCCCTTGGGGACATCAAAATGAAAAATTAAATAGGTCCCACGCATAGGCTATGTCTTACCGTGCCACCTAAGGTAATAGCTACTTCCCTATAGGGAAATTTGCTAAAACAACAACTAATAGGCATGCAGTTGAAATTCAATGAGAACTTTCATTTTGGAATGCCAAATAGATTTGGCAAAGAATTTCAGTTTAAATTAAACTATTTCTGGCACAAAAAATATAAAAATTGTCTAAGAATATTCAACTTTATATTATAATGAAGGTCTAAGGTCTGAGGAGAAAATGGACATGGCCTAACTAATTTTCTCACTAGTTTACCATGATATGCTGAATACTTTACTAAGTGATTCAAATGAGAGTTTTGCAAAATGATATTCTACAATGGGTTATAGGTGAAGACGATTCTGTGGAAACAATCGAAGTTTTAAAATGTATTGAACTAGTTTTTGATAATAATCAATAATTCCATTAAAAACCATATTTAAACTCACTGTACAGGGGCACCTTCTAAGAAAAGTCTGCCTATTATTCATGCTGTATCTTGGAACTACAGGTCTTCTCATTGAATAATTGATCTTTAAAAAAATAGCAAGAATAATGTAAAAAACTTGAAATTTGAATTAAAGTTTAATAAAATTATCAAATAACTATTTGTGTTTATTTGCATATTTGCACGTGCGTCTTAGCCATTCATATAGTTCAATTTATTCTGAGACATAACCCAAAAAATTATGAGTTTGATACTCTGGCAAAAACTGTAAAAATTAGACCATTTCTTTTGTAAATTGGGCCCTAAATCCAGTTTTTTGGTAAATGGTAAAGCAAGAAGCGCAGAATGTCATCCTTATCCTACATCCTTGTGCAGAACAGGTCAGCATGTGCATGTCACGACCCTTGTACAAAGTGGTTGTAATATTACAATGGTAACCTCAGTAATCTGTATAAATTGGAACTGTTTATATTCGTACGTGCATTACAAAGGGATCAATTGGTATTCCTCCCATACAAAGCATTTCATAACTTCGAATTGGGTTAATATTTTGAAACAATTACTCAATTATTTTACAAAACCTCATATTCTTGGTCACTAGCCAAAATTGTTCGTATTAGATATGACTATTATTATGATTAAATCCGTCAGCCCATTTGCGATTGATGCAATAACTCACCTAATAAATGTATCTCTAGAAAAGAGTGAATTCCCACAGGCGTGGAAGAAAAGTATGGTACATCCATTGCCCAAAAAGCAGATTCCCTCGAACTTTAATGATTTAAGGCCAATATCAGTCTTGCCAGCTATGTCCAAAATATTGGAAAAATTAGTAATTCACCAATTAGCAGAGTTTTTAGATGCAGAGAATCTGCTTCCCAAACTACAATCAGGGTTCAGAAAGAACCATAGCACCTGTACTGCATTGCTAAATATGTTTGCAGACTTGTTTGTGGCAAGGGACGAAGGCAGGTGTAGCTCTGTAGTCATGCTTGATTTCTCGCAAGCCTTTGATTCCATAAGCCATAGTTTACTCCTGGCAAAATTGAAACATTTTGGTTTTCATTGTGATGCAATTGCTTGGTTTGGATCTTACCTGGAAAACAGACTGCAAGTGACCAGGGTGGGTACCGATATCTCACCTCCCCTTAAGAAATCAAGGGGAGTACCTCAGGGGAGTTGTCTGGGGCCCATTTTGTTTTCCCTGTACACTGCAGATCTGTCCAGATGTGTGAGGCACTGCAATGTGCATTCATATGCTGATGATTGCCAGTTGCATTTCTCGTACGAGATTCAGGCCACTGCGCAAGCTTTTGCAGGAGTGAACTCTGATCTGGTGAGAGTAAGTGAATGGTCACGCAAACATGGTTTGAAATTGAACACTGACAAATGCACTGTTCTTCATATTGCTCCACCCACTACTCTTCACAGACTTGCAAATGGAGACATGCACGTTCAACTCACAGGAAACCCTTTAATGGTGAGAGATACTGTCAAGACGTTGGGTGTGGTACTTGACAGTGGCCTCACATTCTCGGACCATATCACTTATGTTTCCCAGGTGGCTTTGGGAAGGTTGCGTGGTCTGTACCGGTACAAAAACATCCTGCCAGAGACAGCCAAGCTGCAGCTGGTACAGTCACTAGTGTTGTCAGTGCTCCATTACTGTCTCCCTGCATTCGGAAACAGCATCTCAAGGGAAGAGATGTCCCGTTTGCAAAAAGTGCAGAACTCCGCCGTTCGTTTTGTTTACGGTATCCGTAAGCGTGAACGCGTATCCCCATTCCGGGATGCTGCGGGGTTGCTGTCGATGGGTGCCGTGTGCAGGGCGCAGACTTGTAGCCTCATCCACCGGGTCTTGGTTCAGCAAGAGCCTAAGTACCTGGTGGAAAGGCTTGTGGCACGTGGGGAGATGACCCAACGCGAGACCCGGCACAACGCCTTGCTCCACTTTCAAAAAGTGCGCCTGGAAGTGGGAAGGAAAGGGTTTTCATACTTTGGCCCAAAGATTTACAATGACCTCCCCTTGGACCTAAAACAGCTGGGGGTCCTGGCTTTTAAAAGAAACTTAAAAAAACTTATTAATATTGTAAAGTAGTTGTATATACAGACTGTCCCAAAAGTCCCGGACCGGTTTAATATTTTCAAAACGACAACAGATAAATCAATAAGATTTGGTACATCAACACCACACCTAAAAATCTACTTTTTTAAGGAAATATCAATTTTCTGTCACATCATGGGGACGTCCCGCAAGGAGTCAGAAGGAAATCTTAAATAGAAGCATAGGTTGACATGTACATCAAATTAAAGGTCTTTACTAGCAGAATATAATGCCACAAATTTGAACTCAAACGGACAACCAAGTCAAGAATGACAGTGGTTCAAAGATTCATTTAATTTGCATTTGGGGGCACAGCCCTGGGAATTGGGAAAAAATTGTTAACGTAAGCATAGGTCGATATGCACATCAAATTAAAGGTCTTCACTAGTAGATTACAATGCCGTAAATTCAAGCTCAAAAGAACGCCTGAGTAAAAAATGTCAGTCGTTCAAAGAATCAAAATGGCAGGTTCAAGAAATCTTTGAACAGCTGCCATTTTTTACTCAGGCGTTCTTTTGAGCTTGAATTTACGGCATTGTAATCTACTAGTAAAGGTTAATTTAACTGGTAAAGGTAAATTTGATGTGCATGTCAACCTATGCTTCTATTTAAGATTTCCTTCTGACTCCTTGCGGGACGTCCCCATGATATGACAGAAAATTGATAGTCCCTTAAAAAAGTAGATTTATAAGTGTGGCATTGATGTGCAAAATCTTATTGATTTATCTGTTGTCGTTTAGAAAATATTGAACCGGTCCGGGACTTTTGGGACAGTCTGTATATATTTTATACTAGCTGTACCCGCGGGCTTTGCCCCGCTTAACTTCATAAGTATTCGCATGGCTCAATCACTTCCTGGTTGAAGTTCGTTCGCTACGCTCACTCACCTTCAGGTTGGAAATCGTTCGCTGCGCTCACTTGTTTTCAGGTTAGCTCGTTCGCTACGCTTACTCGCCTCCGGGTTGATGTTCGTTCGCTACGCTCACTCGCCTTTTGGTTGCAAATTAGCTGTTGTCATAAATTTAAAAAAAGTCAGCCCTTTAATTGTTTATAATACTTTGATAAGGTTTTTATGTTTTAATATTTAACATTGGAGAATTTAAACGTTGTTCAGTGCACAGGTGTGCTGCGATTGGGGTTTAATACATTTGGACTTATTAAAAAGTAAAATAGTTTTCTGTGCTGCACTCTGTAGAAACACTGTGGCACTATTTCAAATCACGACTAATGCTAATACAGAATGTTGTGATTATTCAAACCTACAAAACACAGTTGGTGAAAGTAAACATCTGCTTTTAAATTATATTTATTTGTAAACATTGTAGATCAAAAAGTCTGACATTGGCCCAATTAAAACCCTCTGGGGCAGAGCCCTTTTGACGGATCTGCACCAAACTTCACTCGAACCATCCTTGAAAGATGCTTAATAATGCCTGAAAGTTTCATTACAATCTGTCGAGCGGTTTCGGAGTCCATAACGTATATACACACACACATACATACATACATACATAGTTCCTCTTTTATAGATATAGATTTTTATTTTATCACACGATGTCTTGTATTATAATAGTATTGTATTTTTAGTTAGTTTTGACCTGAGTTACTCTGTAAAACAGTAATATTTGTACTGAGAGACGCTCGGAAATAAAGGCATTTTTATTTATTTATTTATTTATTTATCCATTTCTCAGTTCCCGCTCTGAAACAATTTAACCGGCCGTGTCACCACTATAATTCTATTAATAATTACTCACATAGTCTCTGCAGGGTACAACTCCGATCATGGTGTGTCCGGAGAGCACCTTTCCATTGTACGACAGTGCTCGGCGAGCATCAAGCTTGCTAGCGTAGCAGATGTTCACCCAGTTGCCTTGGCCGGGAAATCTAAAAGGAGTTAAGAGTTAAACAAATTAGTTACACCAAAAAAAAAGGTCAGTACACCAAGTGGTGATCATAGAATCTGAGAGTAAATCAGTCCTTTCATCCGTAAAATGTTTATAAATTCAAATTCAAATTCAAATAATCTTTATTTGTTAGTAGTATACAATACATACCGTACATAAATAGTGTCAAATATACAGGTATTGAAAAATAAAAAACAAAGGTTTCTTAGAATTAACAATATATGCAAAAATTGACATTACCTCCTACAACTCATCGAAAGAATATATAGCTTTGCTGATGAGGTACTGCTTCAATTTAATTTTGAATTTTTTGGTTGACACCTCATCTGTTATGCTTTTTGGAATTTTGTTATAAAATTTTGAACCAGCATATTTAGGTTTCTTTTTGAAAAGTTCCAGAGTGTGATAGCTCATTGCGATACAGCCCCGATTTCTGGTGTTATATTCATGATTGTTACCGATTAGCTCCAATTCCTGAAATCTATTTTTTATGGATAAAACTGTTTCAAAAACATACATTCCATAAACAGTCATTATGTTTTCTAATTTAAAATAATCTTTAACTGAAGTTCTTGGTTGTAAATTACGAATAATTCTAATGGCTTTTTTTTGCATTATCAAGATAGAGTTTAAGTTTTCTTTAGTAGTTGTCTTTAGTAGTATAAGCAAATTTACTAGACAAATGCATAGTTTTGTTGTCAGGATTCCCCTATGGTACCTGTGAGTTAGTTTAAATCTGCTTGTTGATTGCAAGTTGTATGTGCATGTTATCTATATTATAGCATAGACAGAAGGAACAATCTGATTAGTCTAACTACATATTTGTCCACATAAAGGGTGGAAAAAGTCCCGGGACAGTTAAATATTTCAAAAATTAATAAAGTTAAAACTTTAAAACTTGATACACTACCTCTTCAGCGGGGGCCGACCCACAAGGAGTCAGAAGGATATCTTAAATGTAAGCATAGGTCGATATGCACATCAAATTAAAGGTTTTTACTAGTTGGTAGAATACAATGCCACAAACGAGAACTCAAACAGACAACCAAGTCAAAAATGGCAGCCGTTCAAATATTTCTTGATTCTGCCATTTTGAATATTTGAGCGGCAGCCATTTTATACCCAGTACTAATGAAGACCTTTAATTAATTTATGTGCATATCGACCAATGCATACGTTTATGATTTTCTTCCAGCTTCTAGCGAGCGCCCCCCTGACGAGGTAGCGTATAATAGCAATGCAATTTTAATGCATCTTTGAACAGCTGTCATTTTTTACTCTGTTGTCTGTTTAAGTTTGGTTTTGCGGCATTGTATTTTACTAACAAAAATCTCTTTAATTTGATGTGCATATCAACCTATGCTTACATTTAAGATTTTCTTCTGACTCCTAGCGGGCCGTCCTCCTGAAGTGGTAGCGCATCTTTGAATAATGTGTTAAAATTTAATGCAGAGTAACTGTGTAACAAGTTTTGATGCTCTATCTATATTACTTTTTGAAATACTTAACCGTCCCAGGACTTGTTTCACCCTGTATAGTGTATGTAGGGTGTTTTAGACTATGCAGGATTCAAGTGCTCAATATTAAAACGTGAGAAAGTAAAGTAGATTTGCTAATAATAATCATGTCAATCTACCAAAAATCTCGGCATAGGACTAATTTGAAAGTTTTGGTGGTTTAAAAATAGACTTTGAAAGCTAAGAAAACTCTCCTAGAAGGACATAAAAAATAAATAAACACAAATGTTCAAAGAATTATTCAAACCAGGTAATCAAAAATTTTAAAAAACATTAAAAAATCAAATTATACATTTACCTGTGCTCAATAATGTGCCCCACTTGAGAGAACTGGCCCAGGACGGATGAAGCTGCGGCTGGTGGAAACCCAAAAACTGTCACCCAACGTTCACCTTCTTCTGCACTCCTGCGGAAACAATCAGCTACGTTTGTGACAATGTCTTGTGAAATTTCACAGTCATGCAAGAAACCTCAATAGGACATGAAAATTGCTTAGAGACACAAAGTGTGATCAAACCTGAATATACTATATTTTAAGTACAATTTGCACTGAGTTGTTTGTCAATGGGAATGAGTAGGTGTAACAAGATGTATTACTGTTTTTTTCCAAACCTTTGAGACGACTAAAAAAACCACTATGGTTGAAAGTTTAATTTGACACGTTAACAATGAAGCATGGCATAGTTAGTCAGTCAGTTATGTCATAAATTATAACTGCTCAAGCATTGAAAACACGATGTACAATATTAAAGAAAAAATTAACACTTAAGTGAAGAAGCACTACTTTCAAAATTATATTATTTTATTTAGTTACAACTATAATAATACCTAATTAAATCTAGTTTATAACTAAGAACGAATTTTACATGTACAATTTGTTATAAATAATATGCAGCAAATTTAATAAAATGATGATATTTGTAGCTTAACTGTTCACAAACATACTCGAAATGGTTGAGCCTAGTGATGGATTTTACCCCTGTGGTGTCCTGGTAGGCCTGTATAGAGCAGGGGGGTGGTTTTAACCCTTCCTCCCATCCCCTCAAAATGAGTGATAAATTATACCAACAAGCTTTGTAAGACGTTACAGGTCAAACATCTACAGGGCAGGGATACTCCAACATAGGTAAGTGGTAAATCACTATGTAATACAATGAACTTTGTATTCTGCAAGTATATTTGATATCTCTTTGTTTGTAATATTTAAAGCTTTATATCTGGTTATGTATGAGTGTGATGTTGATAAAATTTGTTTCTGTTATTTTATTCTGCACTTTACTCTTTGGTTGTACCAGAGGACAAGCAACAGTATGTTAAACAGAGGGTTTTGTTTGGCTGACTTAATATAATGTTTAAGTGGGTAAATCAAAACTAAAAACAATAAGTATCAAAACAAACTCCACGTGTGTTAGATAGTCCAGTCAATTACCATTTCCTGTGTGTACTTATCCCATACAGGATTGACCATAAAAATTTTGGATTTAGGTTCAAAGTCTACCCAGTGGCTATCACTGGGGTTGTTTTTTCCATAGGGTTGGATGAAAGCCCTGCTTGGGGTTGAAAATTTTTGCATTTAAAATTGTGGAGATAGCCCAGATAAAAATTGACTAATTCTAAGCAAAAAACAGATGAACCTACATTTATTTAAACAAGTTTGCGAACTAGCATGATCGAACTAGGGGAACTGTGTTTTATTGGGTAAAAAAATAGGTACTGTATTCCTCATTTTTTACCCCCAAAATATAAAATTTAGCAATTCTTTGCCAAAATTATTTTCTGGAGCTTTAATAAAACAAATTAAGTATATTGAAGCATTTTTGTACCGGTACTACTAATAACTACGGAGAAAGAAAAACAATGTAATTTTGAATTCCCATGTCGTTCTTATGGAGAATAAATAAACTGTTGTAGTTTTCTTCTAAGAGGTAGTCTATATAAAATTTTGTTAAAATTTGACAAATTTGTTTATTTGATACTAAGCTATTAAATTTGTAATAAAAAACACACTTTATTACCTTCCTTGTAGCTGCAAACCTGAGTATTTATTAAAATTGATGTTATTAAATTAAATAGGAAATAAATCTAAACATTTCAAAGAAGTTTGTTAGTGAAAATCCAAAAGACAAAAAATGGAAATTCATTTAGTCTGCAGGTTTGCTACGTCAGGGGTATTCTTGTATTTCTATTGTTTAAATTCAACATATTATGGGTTTTACCTATTATAATAAATAACCACTAAAATTTTAAAATACCTTTTGAAATTAGTTTTTAAAATACTAAAAGAGTTACTGAATGAGAGAAAATATTGTTGTTAGGCCTACCTGTTTTATGAAGTAAGAGTATGGTTTGAATCACTATTATTAGTCTGTTTTTATTTTTAATACTTAGTTTCAAACTTTCTACCTCTGAACACATGCCCGCCAGTACATAGCAGACGTTACATACAAAAATAGCCACCACATGGTTTCACAAAGGCACAAGGTGTGTAATATAAAACTGTTTAGATCTATGACAAAGCCCTTATGGTCTGGAACAGCCAGTTATTTGACTGAGTTATAGTTAGTTGGTACATTAAGTTATTCATGTAACAGTAAACTAACTACAACTTGTCCTCTGGTATCACAACCAAAGAGATCAAATTTAAGGGAGAGTACAGCACACACTGTAAAATTTAGCCTCAAAATAAGAGAAAACAGGTCTTACCATGAGTACTACGGTAAAAATGAGTCTGCGCCACAAAACAAACACCAAAAAAGGTTTTGGGTTTTACAATGGAATGAAAAGGCTACCTAGTGTCCAAAAGTCAAACATAAAACATGTTACTCACGATTGGTTCGTGCTCTGTTGTGGTGTGTGCATCAGCTGAGCGCTTGGCTCATATGGGGTGGTGGGGGTGGAGGGGGGTAGGGCAGAAGCAGTCACGTCTAACGTGTCAAACAACCCTACAGTAGGAGGCCCCCCGGACTTCTCCCTCTGGTTTTTGTGAAACCTGTAAATGAAAAATGGTTTAGTTTCAAATGATCTCGTTGCACTTTGGCTTTGTGCTTGGGGAAAAGGGTATGGACGTGAAAATGGTGCGCTAGAGGGTTAACAGAAGGCTGTGCCTAAACATTTGTACCATGAGGCTGGCAGTAGGTGTCCATCATACGGTAATTTTATTTAAGGAAACCTAAGCTTACAGATATGGATCAGCATGTTTAAGACTACTACTACTACGGTTTACCATTGTCCTTATTGGTCTTATTATCTTATCAGTTCAATAATCTCTTGTTCAGGACAGAGTTACACATGCAGTAGGCTAATCCTTATGCAAAAATTCCCTAACTTTGATCACTACCTTAAACAAATGGATAAATGACCTCAGCTAAGGAAAAAAGCATTGAATTTTCCTCCCAATATTTCTAGAACTAGTAGATAGTAATTAGGAACTAGAATAGTGGTTAGGAAAGAAATAGTAATTAAGCACTAATGTCATATTATTTGATATATCTCACTTGGCCGCAGTTGGCCCTCATTGGAAATCTTCATTTACGGACAATCCTCATACATAGGTTCCAGATGCTTTGTTAGCACAATACAAGTGGCCTGAATCAGTTACCGTACTACACATTACAACTTTCAGCATCACACAGTAAAAATATATACTGTAGTTGACGTCGATAAGTCATAGAAAAATATGTAAAAGGCTTACAATTACTTGTTTGGGAGGAAGAATATGCTTAGTGATTAGCGTCTCGGTCTTTGTAGCAAGAGAGACAGATTCAACCCCCAGCATATCGTATAAAAGTTCAATGATTTTCTCCAATTTCCCTTAGAAATTTATGTGTGAATCTTTCATACAAAATGCAACAGATACAAAAACCAAAAATTAAAACTTACGGTACCAATATGACTCTTACCTAGAAAAACTCTCGTTGAGTGAAGTGGGTCCAATTGGTCCCGGAGTCAGAGGTGATGTGGCTGATAACCCCGCAGTGGTGGGGGCAAAGTGAACTTGGCGGGGAGTCTTGGTGGGACTGGTTGGTTGAGGTGCAGGGTCCCCCATCAAAAAACCTGGCAAAAACGGAGACGAAGGATTCTGAGTTCCCGGACTTCCCACAGGTGATCCTAATGTCATCGGCTCCATTTCTGATCTCTAAAAAAAATTACAAAAATTAGTTAGAGGCTTTTATTTATTCTTTCACATAGTAAGTTCATATAATATTTTTGTCATTCTGTACATAGAATTAAGGAACTAAAGATTTTTATTCATTATTTAATATAGTTACCTAGCCTAAAAATATTATTTTTACATCATGTGATTGTATGCAAACAAAAAACACAAAATATGACACAAAATGACAGTTAAAATATTGAGTTGAATGTTTACCTTATTTTTAAATTGGAACCAGATGTCACTGAGTATTAAGCTTTTAATTCATGAAATAAAGTCAATGGGTGGGTTTTGGTTATTTAACATTATTGTAAAGATTTGTTTTATACATATTTTACAATAATTTACAATAACACGGCTTCATGCTACTTTTGCCATTATTATAATCTTAACAATAATACTACTGAAATGATTTTATTTCTATAATCATTGGTTAAATTAAATACTTAAATACTACAGTTCAAAACCATATGATCTAATTTACCATGTGTGATTTTCAGATTGTTGCTAAAAATAATATTGTTATGCCAGAGAAATAAAATTTTGATGTAATAAAGTTTTAATAAGTTTCTTAAAAATCAAAAGTTCTAAATTATTTTTAAAGTTTATTAGTCTAGTGTTTAAAGTTTAATATGGTACGTATAAAACGTTCAATCTAGCAGTAAGGTTTAAGTAAGTTACAATAGGCCTACATAAAGAAAATGTAATTGTAACTGTCAAGATTTAACCTAAAATTCCTTATCCTACAAACCTCTGATATAAAAAATAGTTTGCAACTCTCTTTAACAAATACAGATAAAGAAAGCAATTTAACGGGAAATTTAACTAATTATCTAGGCTACTAATTTTTATTTTGTTTATAGTTGTCCGGTGAAAAGCAAATAACAATGGGAGAGGGGCAGTTCATTCAAGAACAGGCAATTACACAGGGATACCAAGGAATGAATGGGGAAGGAGAACCAAAAATAGAAAAGGATAATTCATGTACTGAAATGGGAAGTACCAAGAACCCAAAAAAGATAGTTATCTGCTCTATGTGTAATGGAAAAGGTAATAACATATTTTCTGTTGAAAGTACAATTAGTTTTTTGTCCTCACAAAAAAGAGCTAAAAAAAACAGCAAACAGAATGAAAATGTTATGCTAGGACGACTTTTCTCTTTAGAGAATACTTTATTGTAGTAACAACTCTGCTTCTAAGATAACTTACGGTACATGCATTTTTTCGTATATTGTCTACCTAGAAATTAATTCAAAGTTTAGGCACAGACACCATAAAACTAATATTTTTTGTACAATAATGTTTCATATTATAGTTAAAATCCTATTTGATCCTATTTGACTTTATTCATTTATTCTTATTGTAATTTTTAAAAGTAGTAAACATTTATCCAGTCTAGGTATAAGTTAATAGTTATTGTTATTTATAAGGTGCTCACCAACATTTTTTAGGATACTATGAAGAAGTTCAAAAGCCTGAAATATTCATTGATGGTAAGAGGCGAGAAGAAAATTCAGAAAACAATGGAAAATGCTGTAAGTTTTTTGGAGACCATTACTAGAATTAAATCGCTAGAGTACCTAAGACAAGACGACTAATTAAACATGTATGTTATGAATGTGATCTGGCTACATGTGTGGCATCAACAATTTGACTTTATATTAGTATTGAAGGGCCTATACTCTGTATGATGGAACATGTCTTCTGACTGGAGATCTACCTGGATGCTGGCCAATGGTTTAAGGTTCGGTCCACCCCGGGTAGACGGAGGGTCAGGGGACAGGTTCCATCAAACAGACTATGGCATGAACAAATGAGATGTTTAATAGCCCAATGAACATAAAACAGTATAATATGGTCACAACAATAGGCTATAATATAGAACAAAATTAATGCCTGACAAACTTTTCTGGGTAATTCTGAGCAACTACTTGGTCAACCCCAAACTTTTTCATATTTTACTACGGTCGTAAGGATGTTCTCAGAAAACAAGAAACATATAATTCAAGCCCCGCAAGGCCATCATACAGGTTGCCGAGCGATAAGAAGGTTCAAAGTCCACGCGATAACAGTGGCTTGCGGGAGACGCGCGGAAGACAAGTTGTGACAGTACTGTTAGGTTAGGTTAATCACAACCTAACCTAACCTAGCCCAACCTAATCTAACCTAACCTAACCGTGCGGGGCTTGAATTATATGTTTCTTGTTTTCTGAGAACATCCTTATGACTGTAGTAAAATATGAAAAAGTTTGGGGTTGACCAAGTAATTGTTCAGAATTACCCTTTTCTGAAATTGGCTCCTAAGCTTGTTAAGTTTAAAAATATAAACCTGAGTGTTAAAATAAATTAGAATTGTAATTAAAATTTTGGAAAAAGTTAAATATTTAAAAAATGAAATTGCCTTTTATTATAAGTCTATAGGAAATTCCCTTTTATGAAGGGACGTCTAAAACAACAATCATAACCTGGAAGCTAGCTGAACAGGACAAAGAATCAAACAAATGATGCAAAAATGTTTACCGTTGTGGCAGTTATTTAAACTAACTGATAAGTTAAACTCATTATTTTGCAGGTCCTCTGCCATCTATATCACAACCCCGTCCCCATTACCAGTTGGAACAGCTGTTTAAAGCAAATGATGGCAAAGCACTCAGTAGAATGTCAGATTCTGTGATTGCATCGGTAAATACAATATAGCATCTTTATTTTGCATTATTTGGAGTACGGTATGATTAAAATGTCTAATGATAGGCCTACCTAACAAATTCATCAGTGATTATACTTTACTGGTTAAAAGGAACTTAAAAGAGCTACTAGGTACTTCCTAACTAATTGGATATTCATTTTAAAATAAATTGCTTTGGTAAACAATCAGAAAGAAGCAAATCCAAAAGGCTATGTAGCAAATTTAAAATAAGTACAAAAATAAAACAAACCTTAAATGTGAATTTTTGAGGTGTTAAGAACTTTGATGTAACAATTCAAAATCAAAAACATACATCTGGCTTAAAAAGACCTAAACAATTCTGGGACCTTTCATTTTTAGCGAATTTCCCCTATAGGGAATAAGCTATTACCGTAGTACTCATGGTAAGACCTGGACGCGGGACCGGTTTTTTTTTTCGTTTTGAGGTCCCTAGAGGCCAGAAACACCATCCGTTCAAATTCATATATATATATATATATTTATATAACTATATGTTCTATAAATAAATGGCATTAACAATGCCATTATATATATACAATGCTTATATATATATATAAGGATTATATACAATGCTTATATATATATATAAGGATTATATATATATATATATATATATGTGTCCGTCAGCACGATAACTCGAGCAAAAATGATCCGATTTTGATGAAATTTGGTACAAACGTGTAAACGTACGTTTATTGGAACGAGTTCGCGATCCAGCATGATCGGACCATGGGAACGGGGGTTTACGGGGGGTTTTATGGGGTAAAAATAGGTTTTTCCCATTTTTGACCTAAAAAACAAAAAATTTATTATATTGAAGCGTTATTATGCGCCTAATGGTTACGGAGAAAATTTCAAAAAATTGTAAATTTAAAATTCCCATGTTATTCTTATGGAGAATAAGTAAACTGTTGTAGTTTGCTTGTTTGTGAACATATTTTGATCAAATTTGGAAATTTTTTTATTTCTTACTAACTATTCACATTTTACAAAAAAAACCAGTTTTACCCTCCCTGATGCAGCAAACCTAAGTACTTGTTAAACTAATTCTATTTAAATCAAGAATAAATGTTATATTTTTAAGTAGACATTTCAGTGTAAATCCAATCAGTCAAATGGAAATTCGCTTAGTCTGCAGGTTTGCTGCGGCGGGGGTATTTTAGTATTGCAAATTATACATAAAAATTATCCTATTTAAGCAAATCACAATTTTTTTAAATCAAACTGGGGATGGTCCACAAGGAGTCGGAAGGAAATCTTAACTGAAAGCATAGGTTGAGTATAACATTAAATAAAAGGTCTTTATTAGGGAAACACTGTGCCCAAACTCAAAGTTTCACCCCAGCCAAAATTTCAAATCGCCGCCTTCAGACTCTCGTTTAAGATTTTCTTCCGACTCCTACATCCACAAAATGACAAAAAAGTTCATAATTGCTTCTCCAAAAAGTATATTTTTAGGTATGGTACTTATGTGGCTAAGTTTAGTTTCACTATCAGGATAGTTCAAAAAATGAAACATTCCCAGAATATTTAAGGACCCTGATATACGACAGACGCTGACTATATGAAACTAGGCTGTTTGCATGTAATGTTCCAGACTGTTTCAAAACCAGTGGCAAGACTTCCCCCAGTACACGTGCCTAACTCTATGGGAAGACTATCTTCAACTAAACATTCCAAGAGCAATATGTAAGTTAAAAACTACTGAGACTCAAAAACAAATTTCCACAGACAAAAACCAATTCTAAATTAATGTTTGTACTTCCAGTCCTTAGGTTAAGTAGGTACTCAAATTCAGATAAATATGTGTACAGTCTTTCAATAGCAAAGAAAGTAGTGAGATTTTTAAATTACTTATAATGTAGTCATGAATTTACAGACATTTTATGGTTTTACATGAAGTCTGGTCATCTTTGTTAGATACCAGGATTATATAAACCTTGCTTAGGTAAAATTTATAGAATCAGCCAAGAAATCACTGATAGACCTTCTAGGATTTTAGTACAAAATATGAAGAGCAAAAATAAAAAATTCTTTTGTCAAAGTCGATATTAAAATACTTGTTAAGATTGCTGTTTTTTGGGAGGAATTGTGGCATTAAGGGGAAAAATTCACTACAAACAGAAAAGAATAAAACATAATGGTGAGGCTGGGGAGGATAAATGTTTTTTTTTTATAGGCTACTTGTCATTTTTTTAGGAATCCATAAATAACTCTTTTTACATAAAACTGAGTTTGAATAGAGTTTGTTGGTATAAACACAATTACTTTTAATCATGTTGATTCATTTTATAAGATTATACATTATGTTTTACTATGATAAAAAATTGTTTTTTAAAATAAAGTCAAATAAAGATTAATGTTAAAAAAATAACGTTTTATCGTTCCAGAACCGCTCATATGGGTAATCTCCTACTGACTACAAAACAGCTTGACAAACATCCAGAAGATGTTGCAAGGCTGGCTGCCATTAAACTCAACAGAAGCGACTGGTAAGAACTGCAACCATTATGTCCATATGCACTGCAGGCCTTTTATATTTGTTCACAGCACTTAATACTGAGGCGAGGCTTTTGCCAGGTCGGCAGTGGATCATTGAGGAGTTAGTGTGTGATACAAACAATTTCAGGGTATTAGTCTCAAACATTGACAGTTCCTCCCACAGACATACTATAAGCAGCCTAGTCTACTATACGTCCATTTAAAAGCCCCATCCAGTTTCTTTACATCAAGATTTAAATGATTTTAAGTTAGTTCTCTATAGCTTTACACAGATGATCTGAAGTCACAGTTCTATGCGGCTGGCAATGGTCGTTTTGAACTTTGACAGGCTAGTCCAAATTTGTCAAAGCTGAATAACGAATGACGATTCTTAATAATTTTTCAGGCAGACAAAGAAAGCAGGTTTGGAGGAATGCCTCCAACTAGCACACTCATATCCAGATGAGTTGGAGCCCCACATGAGCCTTGTGTACCGAGCAATCAGCTGTCTGCTTCATGGCCACCGCCCGCACATCACCATGTTTGCTTGCCAAGCATCACGCGAGTTCTTCGCACACATGCGCTCAACTTGCCGGCCGGTTTGTATATACATTAAAATGGGTTGGAACCAGTTTTGCAGAAGTAGTCACAACACTAATCTGAATTAAGTTTATTATTTTAATCCTATTGTAGGATGTGTAAAGTAAAATACACTTAATTGTCAAACTAGTAGATTTTCTACGACAAAATAATGATTTCATAAAGTTTTCCATTTGAGAAATGGTAATTTGTTGCAAATTCTGAAAGATCGTACATGTTAAATACGACTTATTCCTTATTTGTACACAGTTAAAAATATGTTTGGACATTTTTTAATAGAGATTTGTTTGTTTCTTTGGTTCTTTTTTGTATATGGTACCTATGCCAATTAGGCCAGAATAACAAGGTTGCTCAATTTTGGAAATGTTTTTCATGTTATAGAAAATTTGTTCTTTTATTAATTATACTTTGAAGTCTTCTGTGGTAGTATCTATATGAAAACTTTTCTTTTATTCTGGAGTCGTAATGTAGGCATGTTTTTAAAGTAAATTGAGTTGTATAGAGAAAAGGTACAAAACGAATAATTAGATGGGTTTGGTTTCATCAGTCTAACAAAACTCAGTCTTACAAGGTTAACATTTAAAAAATTGGAAAAAATAAAAACACAATCAAATTTGAGAGCAAGGAAGGAGTTTAGAGAGAATCATAAAAAAATATAGAACAAGAATACTATTTCTTTGGTTATTTTTAACAGTGCTTCATTCGTTTGTCATTTTGTTCATTATTTATAGGAATTTGATGAAATTGTTCATTCACTACTGGCCCGAACAGCTGACAGTAATAAAGAAATCAGATTGTACGCCAATGACGCCTTAGATAAAATGGTCACATACATTCAGACAACACAAGCAGTGCGGCCGATTGTGGACAAAGGACCAATGTGAGTATGATATACTGTATTTCAACTGTGCTGATGCAGGTGAATGTTCTAGATTCATACCAGGGCTAAAGCTACTAAAACCATTTTGCTAAGATCAAGCTAAAAAAAATTATAATAAATTTGATTTTAAAATGCCCTATGTATTCAACAAATGTATGCCCTACTTAATAGAGTGACAATAGACTTGAATTCTTAAAATGTGATAGACCGGACAAGAGTAACATAACAATATCACTTACGGAACAGTTAAGCTAGGAGAAACATAACTCAAAGAAAATAATAATCGTATCTCACATGTGCTACTACCTACATGAATCACTATGCTAGTGTATTGCGTTTACTGTGCAGTTTAGTTTGATCAATGGCAGAACAGTCTAAAGTCTAAGGCATTGTTGCTCAAGCGAGAAGATCAAGGCTCCAAATCTCATCTTGGTAGGTGAGGCTAAGCTTGGTGGAGGAGGCCCACCTTTTAAAAACTAGAGGATTAGGAAGTTGATGAAATTTGTGGACTCTTTCTGAGATGCAATTTTAATAAGGCATTTGTGCTATTTATTTATTATTTGCCATTAATGGTATTTGAGTATCCAGGGTGGAATCATTGTATAAGAAATAGGATTTTGGATTCATAAGAAGGCAGAACATAAAAAATGGCGTGATTAAATGAATATTTACCTATTTGCAAAACCATAATAGCTTTAAATAACTTAGTCCTCGAATAACTTTTTCAGACATAACAACCCACTAGTGCGGACAGCAACGGCAAGGCTCTTATCTTGTGTTGTAGCTCTGAAAACTCCAAACACAATTCTGACTCACCCACACTTGAGGGATACGTGCAAACGAATCATTGAAACTGGGGCACTGCTGCTGGCAGACAGCAACATTAATGTCAGGTAATTCACAACTACGGTAAGTTAAGGTTTTTAAGGGGCTTAAGCATCCACCCTCAATATAGAAATCATTTCTAAATCAGTACAGAAGGAATTATTATTTCAAACACAAATAAACTACCGCAGAATCTCGATAACAAGACTCTCATGGGGATTATGAAATAAATTGTTATCAAGGTTATAGCAACCTAATTCTGCATCCTTTTTACCACACTAATGAACTTAACAACACCAACCTCAACACCTTTTCTGCCCTATTAAACCCCTAACTGCTGTACCTTCCACCCTGACCAAATCAGGTGTTCATATTTATATTTTTTTGTCATTCTTATGTAAGTTTGTGAAGCACTTGCATTGTGAATTTGCATTGTTCTAGTTATAAGCGTGACGAAGCCTATTGTATTAATGTAAATATTTAACGGAAAATAAATCTTTGAATCTTTGAAGGTTGACTTCTTATCGATTTTGCAATTACATGTCAATTAGAGGTAAAATAAATTCAAGGGGATTTGAAAATTACACTTGTTATCAAAGGTGACTTGCTATTGTGGGTCTTATTAATAAAAATTTTATTTTCAGATCTGAAGCAAAATTATTGATATCTCGGTTTATGAGTGAAGAGGAGTTTGAAAGTGTTTACTATGCAGAAGTTGGTGAAAAACTAAGAAAAAGAGTGCAGAGTACTTTTATTGATATCAAAACAAAGGTAATACTTAAATGTTAATTTTTATATTCTTCTAACAATAAGTGAGAAATATATATTTCCCCAAATTTATTGACTTATGAAGTTTTAATGTCATCTTATATTAGGCTACCTTAAAAAAGATCCTGTTTTAACATTACCAATTTCTTTTTACTTCCTCCCATTATTTAATGGAGAAAGTAGGCAAATTGTTCAAGTCAAAATTTATGAGTTTTTGTTTTTGAGTGTTGGATGGAAATATCAGTTTGTGGGTCCCCTTGAGCCCAATAAAAGTGGTTTGTGTGTGTGTGGAGTAGCAGAATCTTACCCCCAGAGAAAAACTGACGTCACAGCCAACAGGGGTAAACTTTTGCCCTCAAACTTAATTTTATTTGCACATCATGAGTTGAATAAGCTAACCTTGGATTTACTGTACCGGCACCAGTATAGCCTACCTGGACTAGATTTTTACAGTAGTTAATTTAACTAGAACAAATCATATTTTAAAATAGTAGTTTACGGGCCACAATTTTACCCCCCTCATGAGTCAGTGGCGGATCCTGAGGGGACGAAGAGGGCAACCCCCCCCCCTTCAGGTGTATATATAGCCTGTATATTTTTTTACTGGACATGTAATAGTGCATACACATTGTGTAAAATCATTTGTCACACTAAACTAGGCCTAATTAAATAAAAAATAAAATTATGTTTCAGATGCAAGCTTTGGACTGACATTTGTGAACACTGAACTGGAACAATATCAGTTGTGATGGTGGATCTTTTACAAATTTATATATTATAAAGCAAATATAATAAATATCTGGTGAAAAACTGGAAAATTCAAAATGCTAATTTAATGTTCCTTATTTGGCTTAATAACTTAAATGTTTAACTTATAGGCTACGGTATTTAAAACAATGTTATAAAAATAATAAACTTGGCCTAAATTATATGTTACCAAAATATGTTTAATGCCCTACACTCAAGTAGGTAGGCCTACTAAACTTACATTGAAGCTAAAATAAGCTTGAAGGTTAGGCAAGTTTATTGACCCATTATGAACACTTTGACAAAGGCCGTAGTACTATCCTGATAATTAGGACAATTTATTAATTACAAGGCAAAAATGTGGTTCGGGATCCACTATAAACTGTAGGTCCCTTAGTTATCATTGGCTTAATGGTAACTAACATTCACTTTTCCCCTCTGGCACTTTTTCAGCAACTGCTGTTTTTACCCAGAATCAGCTTTGAAAAATCATTAAAAAACTGCCAAAAAAGTGCCAGAGGGGAAAAGTGTTTAAAATGGCTGCACTTTAGTAGGCTATCTGTTCTACTTCACTCGATATATGAGGTTTGAATAGTTGGGTTAACCTAACCTAACTAACCAAATGAAATAATCAATATATAACTTAGAATAATCTAACTTAGGCTATATACCGTATCGATATTTTTCATTCGAATAAGTTGTGTAGGACAGATAGGTAGCCTAATGAAGTGGAGCCTTTAAAATATCCTAAATAATAAGTTAGTAAAAACCCATTAAAAGTATTAAAAAAATAATAAAAAGTAAAAATTAATGCCGATTTTTAGCATTTTTCTAACACGATTTTCAGGGTGAAATAGGCGTTTGCCCCTAAAGTGCCAAATAATGTAAAAAGTGTTGAAAATAGGCTAGGCCAAATAATGAGGAAAAAAAACATTTTTTTCAAGATTCGTTAAGTTAGAAGCCCCTTAACTTAGAGTAAACAAATACCATATAACTTAAATTGATTTTTAGGTAAGTTAGCTTAGAACAAGAACCTCAGAAATGTAGTTTACCTAACTTTCCTATTTCCCTCACTCTAACTTTAGGCCTTAGTTACACTTGTCTCTAGGTCTAACTTAGTCCAGTTCGTGGTGTACCTTAACCTAGGCTGGGCTACTATCGATGTAAAAAACATCGAACCGAATGATAGAAAAACATTGATTTTCAAAACATGAACTATTAATGCTCATCCCTAGTAGACACTCAATTTAGCCTAGTTAAATGTCCATTTATTAGGCTTCAACCAAGGCCCCACTAAAAAAAACAGGCCATGCTGCAGCACGGGCAGCGCAACACTAACATGCAACATTTACGTCACAGTGGTGGATAGTTGTACTAAACTCTTACCATTAAAATCTTACAAACAACCAGCTTTTTTATTTACCTAAAACAATTGGGAATTGTGATGGCAATGAATTTATCAATGAAACCTATCCACTAGTGTGACGTCATGGATCCTGCAGCATGGCCTGCTTTCTAGTGGGGCCTTGCTTCACCTAACCTGTTGAATCCAATGAGAGCTAAATGACCAAGGCTAGGGATTAGGCTATGAAAGTCAAGCTAAATATAACTTAGGCCTATCAACTTACTGCTGGCAACACTCTTAAATCTAACACAGAGGATACGCATCCAGTAACAGGGCGTAGATTAGGCGTCCGGCAGTGACGTCACCGGGTTGTGGTGTGGGGGCCCAGAACGCCATTGCCCCAACGATACGGTGTTTGGTGTATAGCCATTGGTGTTAGTGGTGTAGTGGATAGAGTGCTCAGCTGATATGCAAGAGGTTCCTGGTTTTAATCCCATCGGTAATTTTAACTTTTTGTTAAAAGATTTTGCTTTGAATGCCATTTCGGGTACAGTTTCTTAACTGGGCCATGCAAATATCGATTGAACTATCGATTCGAATAGTAAGTTAAACCTCTTGATTCTTGATTCTTCATGCGATTTTTTCACCATCAGCAAGTTTGGTTGGTTAGGTTAGGTTATGATAGTTTAATTTTATAATCGATATATTTTAAAATATTGATTATTAATCAATAATTTCAATTCAATAGTTTCAATCGATATTAGCATAGGCCTATCCCAGTTAAGAAACTGTACCCTTCTTCTTAACTGTTAGAATTTTTTGTATTTATAATTTTATGAACAGAATTTAAAACCTACATTCGATTTTTTCATCATCAGCAAGTTTGGTTGGTTAGGTTAGGTTATGACAGTAACTGCCGTACGCCTAATCCGGTAGGCCTATCCTCTGCGTATATCTAAAATCTAAACACAATTTTTAATACTTAAACTAACTAAAAAAAAAATCTGGAATTATTAGCAGAGACCAACCTTTTGTAGCAGCCTCGTCCCAACTTATGCGAGCCCAAGTGTACTATTATGATTTTTTCAGAATTAATGAAGCCTTCAGCAGACACAGAAACTCAAGAAAGAGTGTTGATGTACAACTAGAGGCTGTTCCACTGCTTGTTCATGAAATGACAAGACAGTTTTACGAAGCTCTCCCGACACTTCAAAGGATAACAAAGGCTAGACGACTAGAGTAGAGAAAGAAAAGACGGAAACAGTCTTCTGTCTTCTGTTGATTCACTCTGTTCCTGTTGTTGTTGATGTCGTCTGGCTAGGCAAAGGCCTGGCAATTGGCTAATTGGCAAATTAATGCGCTATCTATTTTCCCTCCCAGTTTGGCAGTTCAGTTCCCAGATTCCCACCAACTACAGCATGGGCGTACCCAGAGAGGGGCAGGTAGAAGCATTGACTATACAACACTAAATATCGCATATGTAACTGACTAAGGTATACACATGTTTGAGCACTTCTAGAAGTGCTAGGGAGTTGAAATTTGGCACGCTTGTAAATCTTGAGCCCAAACCCCCAGGAAAATTATGAAAAGTGACATTTTTAAATTTTGACCCCCCGAAAACTCGAATTTCCCCAAGGCCCCACTAGAAACACTTTTTTTCTAGTGGGGCTTTGATTTCCCCCCTATGTTATTCTTATGGGGAATAGCATTAGAATAGCAGTGGTCGACTTTGGTGTGCTCATCTGAACAGTTTAGAAACATGCTAGAGACTTAAAATTTGGTAGTATCGTAGTATGGTATCTTAAATTAACGGTGATGTAATAATAATGTGCATGAATATAAATTTAAAATAAAAACATCACCAATAAATTTCATGAATTTTAAATTTCATGAGGCCTTTCGCCAGCCAGCTGTGTGTCAGACCTATCAGACACGTCACAAAACTGAAGGTTACCGGTAAATGTTTATGTTTACAATAATACATTTTTACATCCAACCTTATGAGTAGTTAAATATGGAAAAGTATTCTGTTAAGTCGTTTCATTGACGAGTCAAGAGTTTCACAAAGTTTGGCATACTGGTTTGCTCTACAAACTAAAACTCATTCTTCCCCACACATTTTTCAATCTCATGAGGTCTTACCTTTTCAATCGACACTTCAGAGTAAAATTTGATGATATTGTTACCCCACTTCACGAAATTCAAACAGGCAGGGAGTTCCCCAAGGAAGTGTATTGGGCCCCGTTCTCTACACATTGTTCACGGTGGACCTACCTGAAAATCCTAATGTCGAAATTGCAACCTTCGCTGATGATACTGTTATTATAGCCTCTCATGAAAATCCTGTGATAGCTTCTCAAATGTTACAGACTGGACTCGATGATCTCTCCGATTGGCTAAAAATGGGGGATCAAAGTAAATGAGAGTAAATCTGCGTCCGGATACAATATATTTACAAGATTAGACACGTGTCCTCTAGTTACCATAAATAACGTTCAAATCTCACAGAGCAATGAGGTTAAATGGGCATGACCCTTGACAGAATACTTATTTGGAAAAGCCACATCTGGAACAAGAGAATTTCGTTAAATTTAAAATTTAATTTATCATCTTTCTTGGCTATATTAAATCAAAATTCAAAATTAACAACAGAAAATAAATTGCTTAAATTAAAAACTATTCTAAAACCAGTGTGGACGTATAGTATCAAACTGTGGGGGTCATCAAGTGAATCAAATGTGAACGTCGTCCAAAGATTCCAATCTAAGGTTCTAAGGCACATTCTACAGGCACCACGGTTCGTTAATAACGAAGTGCTTCACAGGGACAGTCGAACCCCAACGGTCAACAAAGAAGAAATTTCAAGGTTAAGTGACAAAAATACTTAAAGAAATTAGAGTACCATACTAACTACCATGCTTTAAATTTATTTGGCAACATTAACTTAGTTGAAAAGATGCCATGTTTTGGATCCAAACTAAAGTCGTCGTTTTTAGGAGTTTGTGGACTTTAAACTTTTGTACCAATATGAAAAGTTCGTGTGTTGGTTTTATTGTTGGATAAATACTAACTACTGTATTTAAATTTTATCATATTTGCTTATTGTTCTATTTTGTTGAACAGATTGTAAATTAAATAAAATGTAAAAAAAGTAGTTTAGTACATTTTTAGGTAAACTTACAAAAATAAATTAGAAAAAAGTAGAGGGGGACTCATTTAAAACTCACCCTGTGTATTTATGTTGTTTGCTTCAGTAAAATACCTTAAAAGTAATATTATAAAACCACATAAAGTTTAAATTAGTCAAATTTCAAAGCAAATTAGTGCTACCTTATAATATAACTTATAATGTATTATAATGTATCATATTATAATGTGTTGTATTATAATGTATTATGTTATAATATAACTTATAATAATCAGTCATTCAAATAATCATCCTGCTCAGTGATTGCTAGTATAGGCTAAAAAAATAATAAACTCTTCTAGTATTTGCATGGTTAAGACATTTTAGCCGGAAATTAGAGAAAAAAAAGTCCCGCGCTTGTGAAGCGATATTCACTTTTCAGAATAAGTAAAAATATAACCTAAACCTAAACCCTAGAATGAAAGAACTAGAGATGGGCTAAATGATTCCATCGATGTAGCCGCTACAATGATTCCAGCTACACTCGTGGACTCATTACAAGTAACCGTTCCGATTCCAAACGATTACTTCGTTACCGCCGTTACAGAGTAGCCGCAATCGACCGATTGCACTCGTAATCGTCATGGTATTGATACTCCGATGTATTCCAGTTACAGTAACGCCTTTTGAATCAAAGTTTACTGAAGCCAAATAAATATTTTTTTGGTTTGTATCGCAATAAATACAATTTAAATGAGTTTCCAAAATATAGGATTAATGAATTATTAATCATTAATCAATTAATCAATCATCTAATCTATCATTAATTAATTAAAATTTGTATATTATTACACAAATTTATACAATCAATTACTGTAGCAATTTGTAACAATTAAATCATTCTAAGGAAGGTTAGAATAAGCAAAACTACGAGATATGTTTTTGCACATTAATTGTAATCAACACAATTTTAACTAACATTTTTTTAAAATCATAGTGGATTAATTTAATCCTATAAACTGATTTGGATTTCGCATTCAAAAATATCAACTGTTCACCCACGGGTGCGAGGTGGTGGCGGAGTTAGTTAAGCGGAGCGAAGCGAAGCTCTTTGGGATCAACTTCAATGCAATATTTATAAGTGTTGGACTGGACTGTGGAATGGGGTTATCTCGCTTGTCAAGCAAGCTGGTAGCTGGACTCATTTACGGAATCGAAACGGCTTGGAATCATCTTCTCTAAACGATTCCAGGCACATCGATTTGCTACTGTAACGAAGTAATCGGAACCGGTACTCTGATACTTGAGTAACGATTACTTTAGCACCAACCATGTAATGATTACAAAGTAACGATTCCAGTACTTTGTTCCCACCTCTAGAAAGAACCTAACCTCAAAAACAACTAAAGATAGGCCTATTATCTTAAGCAGTGTTTCCATTCGCGGGATTATTATCCCGAAAACGGGATTTTTAGACCTTGAGCGGGATTAAAACGGGATGCGGGATAAAACGGGATTTTCGGCTGTGACGACTATTTTTATTTTTTTCTACTCAATTTTAGAGAAAAACTAACTCAAATTGTTTAAATACTGTAGCAAAATATAATAGTGATGTTTAAGCAACTTATAAAAATGATACGTAAAGTTTAATACTAGGAATTGTACCAAAAAAATCATGCGGGATAAAACGGGGTTTTTCACTGATTTAAAAGCGGGATAAAACGGGATTTCTCGACCCAGTAAGCGGGATTATTTTTTTGGTCGTGTGGAAACACTGATCTTAAGTTTTTACTGTGATTTATAATAAAACGTTTGAAAATATTAGTATATATAAACTGGATGAAATATCAATAACCGGAGGTAAGTTGAAGTGATCAAAAGTTAATAATTCAACTAAGCATTTTAAAACCTTTTCTCTGTTTTAGGGTTAGATTATTTCTTACAGAGAAAATTCAAAAAGTTTGTAATTTAAAATTCCCATGTCATTCTTATGGAGAATAAGTAAACTATTGTAGTTTGCTTGTTTATGGATGTATTTGATCAAAATTCGCAAGCATTTACTTATTTTATATTAAGCTATACAATTTTACCAGAAAACCCGCTTTATTAGTTACCTACCCTTACTGTAGCAGCAAACCTAGGTTACTTTACTTGTTAAACCTAATGCTATTCAAATACTGTAGATTTAATTGAAAATCCAACTAGGCAAATGGAATTTTACTTAGTCTGCTGGTTTACTGCGGTGGGGGTATCAAGTCAGGTATTTACAGCCTTCACCATTCCCATTGCCACCCTTACACCTTTTAGCGAATTTCCATATAGGGAATAAGCTATTACCACAGGTCTCATGGTAAGTTTCGGACCAGGGACTGATTTAATTTTGGTTTGGTGAATTTGTTCATTTCATAAGCTATCAATCAATAAAAAAAACACTCCTTATTAGGCCTACCTTCCCTGAAGCAGCAAACCTTAGTAAGCTACCTACTTATTAAAATAAATGTCAACTCTTTAACATGATTCAGTATGGGTTTAGAAAGGGTAAAAGCACTGTAGATGCCATATTCAGCTTTGTATCTGAGGTAGCGGATGCTCTTGACAGGTCGCAGAATGTATCTGGTCTCTTCTGTGACCCGTCAAGAGTGTTGACTGTGTAAACCATGATATACTGATTCGGAAGTTGCAGTTTAATGGTATATCGGGCAGGACCATCAAATGGTTGTTTTCATTTCCATCTAACAGAAAACAGTGTAGGGAAATTTGCAGTCACTGGGATTAAGTCTGATTAGGCTATAGATTAATTACAGATGGTGTACCTCAAGGGTCCATTCTTGGACCCATACTCTTCTTGGTTTATGTCAATGACTTGCCCATGACCTTAAATTCAAAATTGATTATGTTTGCTGACGATCAATTGGTAACGAGTTACCACGAGTTAATCACGATTCTCGCTTGGTAACGAGTGTAAATCATTTAGTACAATATTGGTTCTCTATACAGAAACATATATATTTGTTGACTAGATTTCAACAAAAGTTCAGTTTACAATAAAATAAAGAGATATCATTAGTTCAGTTGTTAAAATTCTTCAAAGACAAAGATGTCCAAGGTTCTGGACAACTTAGATAAAATTTATTATTTTGAGGAATAAGTGTAGGCACTTAGTAAGTCTGTGACGCTGGT